GTAAATTTTCGAAAAAACAACAATCAGCTCGAAAATAAACAGTAGCCTTTTGCTTTCCAACTAAGAATTCTGTTATTGGTATAGTATTGGTAAGTTCATCAAATATATTTGTAACTACTCGAAATATATTCCGAAATTCATCGCATAAATTTTCACATTTCAATGGTCTGTTACCATTGTAGACTTTTATCCATTGTTGACATATATCATCGGCCAGTGGAAGATCTTTGGTATTCTTAGGCTCGATAACCACATAGGAGACTAACTCGAATTCAGCTACAAATGATACTGTTTCATTTAATTTTGAGTTTATGTTAATGCTTTTGATAGTGTTAACTAAATGAGATTTGTCTTTCTCGTTTCGTAGATATACAATACCGACATCTAATTGTGAACTGCATTTTATATCGCTTACCAGTAGCTGGTAATCACGGTACAGACAATTATGAATTGTCGACTCAAGTTCTTTACTACTAAAGTCGTTAGATGGTAAAGAAGGTACGTACGCAATATTGATCGACTGTTTCGGTCGTCTGACGATTTCCCGTGATTGATAATAAGCCTGGTCATATGCAGGTGATTCCAATCTTTGTTGATCATCTATCGGCGAAGAGGTTTGATCATATGGAGATCGTTGAGGAGTATGAGATGGAACAATGAGTGTCTCTTTCTTATTTTGTTTCTGTTGTTTCATATGACTTGAACCAGAAAAAATGGATGGCCGAGATGAATCATTACTTTCTTCAGATGTAGATAAATTTAATGAAACAACGTGCAATCGTCGTTTTCCTTTTGGTAACATCTCTGGAGTAGATGGAGGTGTATGTGGTGGAGTTAATCGATGACGGACAGATGCATCAAATGATTTAGAAGTACGCAAAGTAGGTTTTGACGTCGATTGTAAGGATTGATTTATTAAATCATTTGTTCTACTGAGTGTTCGGCATTTATGATTTTGATTTGTTTCGCCCGTGATAGTTTTGCTTTCAATCATTTCATCGCCTTCTTGATATTTCCGGTCACCTGCATCTGAAATTGGTGATGTGTATATCAAAACACTTGTAAGTTTCATTTTTTGTGAAAAATAATGGTTAATGATTATTGAAGGACACAGCGATACAAGCGAAATTATCCCTCTCCTCCTCCTAGATCTGTTCTGTGGATCATGACAAGGCACTTTGGTGTATCTGTCATGATTCAGTAGTTTTTTAATACGGATTGCAATAGACACGAATGAATAGGTATTTTCATATTGGTAAGGGTGGCTGTATTATGTTTTATATTTTTATTTCGTAGGAATCATGATGAAATGTCTTTTATGCTATCCCTATCTTACTGTAGGCAAATGGAAAGAATTTGCATTGTTGTAAAACTATACCATAAAATTCTCTACCATTATCGAAGTTTCAGATTCCACAAACTTGTACTCGTTAATTCTTAAAAGTGAAATTCATCAAAATAACTGTTGAAGTAGTACGATAAATTATACTTCTCAATACCGAAGTTTCTAATTGCTAGACTTTTTGCATTGTTTCTATAGGTTTTAATAGAATGATTCTAGCTTCATGTCAATGCAAGCCAAAGTTTAGTTCCTTCCGAAATTTTCGAAACGGATTATTTGCCCTTAAAAAAATGCTGTGTCCAAAAATTGAAACATTTATATAAACATTAGCAAAGCAAATATTTTTCTATAAAAATTTTTTTAGATCCATGGTTGGAAAGAGTCTAAAATTTTGTTCCTGACCCATGGTTTGCATGTGCCTCAGACCGTTTGATGTAGGCTGAGTATGAATAAGATTCTTTTCAGAAGGTGCGGTTTATCCGTTTTGTTTAAACTAATTTTTTGCTAGTCGTGTAAAATAAGTTTTGCCTCGTTTGGAATACTTTGTAGCTTATCAAAAATGAAAAGATATTATATAGAGTAATTTTCATCTGTCCGACGTCCCCATTATTGTCACTGTCAGTTATCTAAGTAGGAGTAAATAAGAACAAAGGAACTTTGCTAATTCAGTAACTGTAGAACGATTGATGTTAAAATTTTAAAAATATTGAAATTTTTATCATTTTTTTTTACGTAAATGCGCAAACGTTTTCTGAGTGTAGAAAATTTTATGTTCTAAGGCTTGAGTATATTTCTCGAAGTTCTTACTTGTTCTGCTCTCTGTTGAAGAACCATAGGGAAGTGCTGATAATGAATTTGAAGAACCGATTGATCTTTTTAATTTTTCTAACTTTGTATTGCTTTTTTCAATTGAATGTCTTAAAGTTGTAGGACTTTGAGATAAATGATCGGAATTATACAGTGTATAATTATTATCATTCGATGAACATGAATGCAATGATTGCTGATGGTGTTTTGATGAAAGTATCGCTGAACGTCCAACACGTGATTCATCCGACTGTTTATCACTTTTGGATTGAGGCTGTTGTGGTAATGAAGATTGTCTATTGAATGAATAAAACCTATGAGCTTATAACAGGATTTGTGAAACTGACCGATTCAAAGTGGATCCTGTTAAAGATGAGCGATTGAGCATGTTAACTGGTGTAGCATTTGTTTGAAAGTCACTTGATGATTCTTCACGACGCACGATTGATCTGTTATGAGTCGCAGGTGTTCCATCAGAGGTCTTATTCTTTTCAATCAATGAATCGTACCGTGAGCACTTTTGGTCTTGAACATCTAAATATGTTAATGAATCAGATGAAATTGTTTCTATTGACCCTAATCATCAGATACTACTTCGAATAAAAATATGGAAATTTTTAAAAGTATGTTGAAACAAAATGATCCAAACTTATGATTATATTTGAGATAGTTCGCATTCAGAATGCATCTTTATAAGGTTCTACTAATTGTCTCGATTTCAGCAAAATATCTGACATTTATTATTTTTATTTAAGTGGATAGAACATATTGTGACATCTATCGAGTTGCATCGTTTTTATTTGATTTATTCTAGTTCATGTTAAAAGTTTAAAAGGAATGCATGAAAATGTTCTGTTTGAAAATTTTTCGATATGATTTTCTCCGACCATGATATCAAATGACAAACGCAAATTTTGAATCACTGCTTAGTTTCTGATCTAAAGTTTGACGATCTCATAGAAACACTCTCAATTCAACACTATTAACTGTTGATAAGGTTACTACGTAGTACTAGCAGAGCTTAACCTCTAAATAATACATTCAAAAATACAAGAATACCGGTATTTGATTCCGTATGATGATTGTTATTGATAAGTGCTGGATTGTTATACACTTCTTTTCCATCTTGTTTCTTGTGACCATTGTCAGATCTTTGCACCAACACTTGATTCTTAAAAGTAGAATCAAAACTCAACAGTCAGCGACAAAAGTTTCAGTGAATTCGTTTTTTTTCAAATTTTTTTTACATTTGTTTTTTTAAATTTTTTTTCACATGAAAGAGTATAGATCTGATTCAAATGGTGATATAGATAGTATGAGAGGCTGGCTATATGAAGTATTATAGGAGGGACCTCTGTCTCTCTATATAGATTTTGGGTATGGATGAGAGTTAAAGCAAGAAAGACACTCACACCCACATCCTTGTAAGACAGAAATTTTAATTTACTGAATAAAGAGAGTTACAGACTGGCGATTGATAACGACCATGTGCATATGTAATTGTTGACTTAAGAACAAATGCTTCGATGTTGTTGTACTTACACTGTCTTTTTCTTTTTGATGTTGTTGCGAGGTTTTGACAGCGGATGCCGACATCTGAGTAATGTTGTATTGAAATTAATGGTTTTGTTATATTTTTCTAAAGAATTATTGAATTCAGAATTTCAACCGATGGTTTGTAAAGTTTGTGATAAATTAATTTCAAAAACTGAGAAAATATGCAAAACAACGCTTATGCGCAGCAAGAACAAGCAGAAGTGAAAATGTTACCAACTTTTATCGAAGCACAAACAGAGTAAATAGACAGAAGAAAAGGAAAAATATGGCAAAATGCGAGACAGAAGAACAAAAAGAACTATGCATGGTGAGGGGAAAAAACCAAGTAACTCACTATGGTCGTCGAATCCGTGAAAATGTGAGTGGCTTTTGTTGAGTTCCTACTATTGTCTTTCAACACATCTACACTCATATTCACATTTCAATCCTTGTTCCATACACAATTATCCATATGTCTAACCCAAAATTTTAAATTGTAAATTATACAATAATCGTTGTTGCTATCACAGCAGATCTCTGATTTAATCTAGTTTATCTTCACAAGCTACAAAGATGTTTCATGGTTATAAATAAAGCGATAGAACTTATTCGGCCACATATACTAATTCATAATACTATATTTCACGTATACTGCCCGTTTAGAATAGAAACCGAGGAAGGATGAATCGTTTGTTGGCTTTCGAAAGTACTCATGAAGAGCATAAAGACTGGTGAAAAACATACTCAAAGCGAGTGGTCCTTGATGCGCTACGAATACACTGGATGCCAACGCTTTTCATACGAAGTTAGGAATACTTGGATATCAGCAGAACATTGAGCTTGATCGAGATATTTCACAAGTATATATATGAAAAACTTGCGCATGAGACACGAACTTGATAAAGTTGTACACCGTCAAACTGAACAAGTATCCATTCAGTTGTTTTCATCCTACTACAAAACTACTCTTATAAGTTACATATGGTCATGATTTCTTCTCAAAATTCATCGAGGATCAATAAAAACCAACGTTTATCATTCTTTAGATTAAAACTTTGTTCTACGATGATGACTTGTTGTGCTTCTGTGGAAGAATAGACATTTTTCTGAATAACTCAATGATTATTTTAACGAAATGATGATTTTTCTTCATGAAATATATCTTGTTGGGAAGTAAGTCATCTTTTTATTAAAGCGTCTTTTTTCTCTTTTCTACGAGAATGAGAATAAGAAAAAAACTTTTACAAGATAGAAAAATTACTTTTACACATAGAAAAAAGAATTATTTCAGACGAAAAAAGTTTTATGATGAATTTTAACTGCATAATGTCATTGTTAATGGAAAATATTTTCTTTGTCTTATTCGTCCTCTTGTTCTAACAAAAATATTATTTTGAAAGGTTTAAACAACTAAACTTTTTACTTTTTTTCCTTCAATTTACGCATTTTGTCTTTTGCTTGATCTAATTCTTTTTCAAGTTCACACGCAGATGGACTAGTTGATCTCTCATATCGTAAATACCGGACAATTTTTAGCGATAAACCACAGTATTTATCAGAACCAACGGTTAATCGCCGGTTTTTATCACATGGGCTATATTCTTTGATTTGATCCTTTAAAGATTTAATCTTTGTCCCGATTTCCTTGATCTAAACATAAAGTTTTGCTAAAACAATATTATTAATTCCATCTTACTTGTTCACTTGTCGTTGGATCATATGTCGTTCGTTCGTAAGTCATTGAAACATAGTTTGACTCATACATAACATTCACATCGCACCATAAATTATCATCATCATTAGCCGTGATCAATGAATTACTATTATCACTTATTTTTATTACTGAATTAACATCACCAACAGCTATTGTTGATGAATTAACATCATCAGCAACTGTGGTCGAGGAATTAACATTACGTGAAGCCATCATGGACAAATTAGTTAGAACTGATTTTCTGTTCAAAGAAAACGGTCGACTTTTGTTTTTGTTTTTCTTCTTTTTACTGTATGATACCCATTTATTTACATGCGCTCGATATACACGTCTTATTTCTTTTACTATTCATTTAGTCGAGCAATCCTATAGCTAGTGTTCCATCTCGTTGGGCGGCGATGTGAAACAACTGCCATATGAATACCGATAAAAATGTACATATATTCATCTAACTAAATTAACTTTTTACTATTATATATGCACTCTAGATAATTTAAAAAAAAGATAAAATAGAGGTAATTATTATTGCACTCGTTCGTGCATGTTAATACCTTCGTCTCAAGTACATATGAGCAAGATGGTCCAGGGCCAACTACCAGTTTTTTTTTTGACCAGAACCAAGACCAACACTTTTTCATTGTGAATAATATCTTATACGGTCGTTTAAAATTCGTATCAAATATCATATTCTCATCACTCATGTGTTCTAAAAGTTTATATAAAAATTATTCCGTAACGGTCACTTTAATATTTGCTGTTACAATTTTGATAATAAAATTACTCCTTTTTTTCTTCGTAAACGACCAGAAAAATAGACAAAGTATTAATGAATTAGAAAAAGTAATGAATCTTCAAGAGGAAGGATCTTAGAAGTTATACAAGATGTCTCGGTTTGAAAATGATATTGCATTTTTCGCTAATATATGTATTACTAAGAGTGAAATCCGAATAAAAAACTATTGGTTCCACTTATCACTATATTGCAAGAGTATGAAGTTGACTCGATTGAAGTTTCTAATTTAAAACTATGATACATTTGATAAGAATAAAAGAAAAATTCATTTAGAATTAGAATACATCTATAAGAGGAAGACGAGCAACTTTTCAAAATAAAGATGCAATGTATAAGCAAAGTGCATTTTTTTACTTTATTCAATATTATTATGGTGCTTGGTTGTTTTTTTTTTGTAATAAAATACAAAACACAATACTTTTTCAAGATCGTAAGTATCTTGTATATTTTGCTTTTACTTGAGATCCTTAAGATTGGAAACACTGAGCTTATCCATTAATAACATATATGACTAGTAACACCCTTTAAGAGAAATCATTAACACACAAATGCACTTTGAGTGAGGATCGATGATTCGCATCATATTTTGATTCGACATTAATAAATAACCAATGAAAAGCTCTATAATACCTATCTGTTTATTTATTCTCTTCATTGATTTTTTTTAGAAAGTTATTCATTGTTGAAATAGAAATATAGATTTATTTTTTCTTTTTTTCTTTTTTTAAAGAGCAGTTCTGCTTAATATAGAGAAAAAATAGTTCATCAAAATGGTACAACGATTAACTTACCGTCGTCGTTTATCATATAACACCAATTCAAATCGGGTTAAAATGTATGTTAAATTCTTTTTGTTCATTTTATTACAAAAAACAACCAAAAATCTATTTATTTTTAGTGTTAAGACACCCGGAGGTAAATTGACATATCAATATGTAAAAAAACGTGGAGCAGTGCCAAAATGTGGTGATTGTAAAGTTGAATTACCAGGAGTAAGTTTCATTTATTATTGAATCTAGTTAATATAGTATTTCTGCTCTTTTTGTTTTAGATTAAGGCATCTCGTCCAAAACAACGTATGACAATGACTAAACGATTGAAAACAGTATCACGTACTTACGGAGGCTCACGATGTGCCAAATGTGTTCGACTTCGGTAAAAACAAGAAATTTCGAAGAAAATATTACAAAGAATATTTATTTTATTTTTAGTATCGTTCGTGCTTTTCTTATAGAAGAACAACGTATAGTTGCTATGGTTATGAAATCAAAGAAATTAACTGGACCAACAGAACCAGCAGCACAACCACAAGCAGCTAGTCAAAAATCGAAATAAAAAGAAAAATTGTTTTTTTTTTTTTTTGATTGACTATTTTCATTTGTTTTTTTAATTTCTCTCTCATCCGTTACCAACTCGATATTTGAGAGATTTATGAAAGAATAAAAAGAAAAATAAACGAACGTATAAAATATTTCATAAAACAAGAATAAATGAAAATAGCATATATGAATAGATAATTTGATTTTCATGTAGAAAAAAATACATATATATATATTCGACATACCGAGTGGCTTAAAAGTAAGGAAATACAGAATTTTTCAGTTTCTCTTACAGTCACAGACGAACAGTAAAATATGTTTGCTTAGTATTACCTAGTATATGTGGTATAAATATGAGGCCTAACTGACTATATATAAAGAAGAAATCGAAAAAACTTTGTAGTTTGATCATTTGAATAATGTAGAATATGCTTTAGTTAATGAAGTAAAAGATTTCATTATGAAAAAACTTGGATAAAAAATATAGAAGATTTTGTTTTTTTGGATTGACCTCGGAACAAAAAATTTGTTTTTTCAGAGAAGTGAAGTAGAGTGAAATAACAAATTGTGTAGAATCTGAAATTAGAACTTTTTACTATGTATGCCAAAATGCTTCTATACTAACATATAGGCTTTTCAAAATATCATTGGTTTTGAAGAATGTTCTAACTTTCAAAGCACCTTTATCATAAAATAATGACATATTCGAAGTTAATATTAAAAATTACATCAAACAATATATAATTTGTCGCTTTTATAAGTAAAGATTGTTTTTAACAAAAATTTGAAGCGAAGATCTTCTCAAGGATTATTTAATAAAATAAATTTTTCTTAAATACATATTTTTATTACCAAACGAAAATTCAATTGTAATGGAAAATAAACTATGTTTATGTGTGCTATAGAAATTGCCGACTGTGCATAGAACTGTGAAATCTATGCTTCTGCAAAAACAAGTTTCTCAACTTGTATGAATCTTAATCACTAGGAGATCAACAGTGACATTCTATTATGTTTATATAGATATGTACTCAACAAGACTATGTACGAAAATTCTAGAAGAGAAGATTTTATGTTTGTTTTACTTTTTATATAGTTATATGGAAGAAATGAATGGTATTGCATTTTTAAATTATTTTACATAATGTTTTTATCTCTATACTAAAACATATTAATGAGAAAAATAAACTCTTTAACAAGATGCGTTTTACTGTCATTTCTAAGCAAGTAATGTGATCAATCACGTCAATCTTAATTAGTTTACGAAAAGAAATATGCGAATCTATATCACATCGGACATCTGATCTACCTAACACGTAGCTAATCATTGTCGGAAAAGAATTTCTTAAATGTCAATTTTAAAATATTGTCGAAACACTATGTCTAACATATATTAGTCTTCATACCATTTACTTTTTACTAATAGATGTGAAAACTCAGGTAAATTCTGAATACGCAATTGATTAATAACATCCTTTTCAAGAGTATGAGACATACAACAAGGAATATTTTTCTTCTACATTAGAAAGAATTATATGTTTTTAGAGATAAATAGTCACGGATGAACTTTAAATAATCTCGATTAAAGAAAAATCGTTAAATCCAGTACATTTACATCGCATGAAATATTCATCATATAAAAGTCAAAAATAGCTCAGGTGGCAACCGAAAATTATCTATGGCTCCTTATTCTATATATTTAATTATTTTTCATTTGAAAGAACATACTAAACTGCAGTACAAGACAGAGCCCTGTTTTTTTATGCGGAGAACAAGGATGATCAGTTTGATATCTCGAAAAACTGGTCATCTATTTATAGAAGTGTATTGTTATATAATAATAAAAAAAGTTTAATTCAAAGAGCGGGCTCTGCTATGTGCTGCAGCTTGATTTGTTCTTTCAAAAACAAACAATAGTTTGGTTATAATGAAGCATGTTTAAGAATTCTGGGATGCATGATCAGAGAAACATATATAGAAAAAAATCAAAAACGATTTACTGCTTTTTCTTAAAAAAAGCATATTTTTCAAGTAGAAGATAACGAAAATCATTGAAAATTTTCGGAAAAAACGATTATATTGTTTGTGAAAGACCCGACGTCAAGATATCCTCTCATATATTTATCTTAATTTCCGTTAGTCTAACGAAAATGGGCTGTTTTTAAGCGGACGAGATAGGTAGAAAGAATATCTCTGTCTTCCAGGTATCTTGCGGCAGATTCAATAGTCTGACATCTTCTCTACAACAAATACTAGTTGTAGTTCTAAATAGAAGACCGATCTGACACGGTGTTCTTGCGCTCAACTCCTTGAGCTTCTCATACACACTAGCTAACCACAAAAGCACATTATTGGACAGACGATCCGAGACAGATAGTCGTTAGTGTCCTGACCAGAGTCATTCACTGGTTGGCAGTACTGAAATTTGTACAAAGTATCTCTTAGATACGTGTTGAACCACATATCCACTGAACTATGGCGGCTTCGGCGGAGCTAAATGATCACTAAACTGCTCTAACTATTTTTGTGAAACACAATCTAAAAGAAACGTTGGAGTATAGGGTAGAAATTTCGACCATCTTATTTTCATTTCAGGATTTTATTTCATTATAAGCAATGGTAAATTCATTGCGTATTTTTCCTGTTCTTGGCGTTGTTATTCTTATCATTATTATACTTTTTGCATTTATTTATTCGATTCCAATCATATTCATTCGTCGTTTTCATCAACATAATAACATACTTACATTAAATATATGTTTGGTAACAATATTTTGTTGTTGCTCGTGGATTTTTGTTCATGTGACATTTACGATTGATAATCCATATACAACTGTTGGAAAAATGAATTTTGTTTTTAACATTATAGCAATGATATTTACTATTCAAGTACCATGTAGTTTTGTAGCAGTATCGATTCATCGTTGTTGTTCTATAGTTTATTATACGAAGAGTTTTTTTAAAACAAAACAATGGATTATATTATGTATCGGAAGTCAATGGTTATTGGGATTTATTTTATCTATACCAGATTTTATACGCATTCATATGGTAAGATTTTCTTATCTGTTAATATGAATTAATTTATATTTTATACGATACTCTAGTCTAATGGAGATGCTCTATGGCCAAAAGTTTATGCCCTGGTGAATATGATGATAATTCCATCGATTATTTATTTTGTTACAAATATCCTTATTTATTATCATGTGCGATCTTCGTCTCGTCGTATTCAACCACAAACTAATATTCATAATATTCAACAAATAAAAATTAGTCATCGTGATATTTATTTATTACGACATATGATTTTAATGTTTTGTATATTTGTTGCAGGATGGGCTCCAATATATATATTACCAATTATTAATCATTTTACATATATTATTTTATTAGCATATGGAATTTCTACAATTTGGTGTGAATTAGCTTTATTAATCAATATACTTGACTTATTTTTGTATAATCATAAACTAAGAAAATATTTAAAAAGTATTTGTTTAGAATGTTTTACTAAACTCTAACAATTAAATAATATCGAAATTATCTCTAAATAGATTGAGAATATACTATTTATAATATATTAAACCTTATATATATTTCATAGAATGTCCAATCGAATTCTACTATGAAGAAAAGTTTACAAACGTAATATCATTACTGTTGAAAAAAAAAGAATTTTTGTTTCTTTCATGTTTTATATCTGTCGTCTTCAAAAAAACAAACAACTGTTTGCTGTGTTGCTTTACTTTTTTTAAACAAAATAAAACGTACACTAAGCACGATAGAATGGTTGATGTTGTATTCTATTTTTGGTTTAATGATGTCGATCGTTATTCGAAAAAAATGATTTTCTTTTGTAATTCAAATGAAAGAAAAATATTCATTCAATTTACAATAAAATCAATCTCAGGCTGAATGCATGCTAAAAGCAAGAAATTTTCAGCCTTGTAGCATGACATTTGAGGAAGATTTTCATCAAACAAGAGTCCAAAATAGCTCATTTGACAGTTCAAATTTCTCTGTCCAGTTTCATTCTATATATTTAACTTTTTTTTTTGTATTCTTATTTTTTTATGCAGAAAAAACGAGTGATAAGTTCAACGTCTCAAAAAATGCTCTAAAAACGCGCCAAAAGTGAGTATCCATTCATATATTTGTTTGCACATATAATAAAATCAAAGCTTAATTTTAGAAAGAAAAGGACTCTGTAGTGCTCTGCATTTTGACATGCTCTTTCAAACAAAAAAACATTCAAATATATAGAATGTAGACCCACTAAGAAATTTGCGTTGCGCGATTGAAAAAGTATAAGCTAAGAAAAAAACGAAAAATGCTTTTGTTTTTTCCAAAATAAGCATACTTTTTAAGACAAAGGTAATAGAAATCATCAAAAATTTTGGTCAAAAATGAGATGCCGAAAAAACAACTATACCGTTTCTGAAGGATCAGAAGATGGACTATCTTTCCATGCATTTACCTTAATTTCGACATTTGTGACGAAAATTGACTTTTTTCGAGGGGTGAAACCTTAAGAAAATAAAATTTCTTCTATGGGCAAAATCATTCGTTAGTGAACTGACTTCGTAAAATAAAAACACGTGTATCTCTCGGGATATAAATAAAAAAAATGCTCTTATAACCGAATGAGAAGTTCAAAACCGATTTCAAACGATACAAATCGTTTTTCGGAACTTCTAGAAGATGGTAAAACAAAACTTTTTCTTTCAGGACTCGGTGGAACCTTTAGAAAACTGATTTTTTGAAGTCAAATCTTTCTGAAATTTTTATCATATACGCTGTTCGTGCTGTAGAGTCTATTCTGAAGCTTTCAAATTCTTTTCTCAATTGATAGTCACCTGAAAGAGACAACATTTTTACATATGTCTATGCTAATAGAATTTATTCACAAAAATAAATCGCGTAAAGAATCAAAGTCAAATGAAAAGTATGTAAGTCCCATATAGACTTCTTAGCTTTGATAAATTTCAATATAATTTTATAATTCAATTTTTTGCTCTTTTTTATCGGGTTGATGCAAACGTCTCTGCCAATTTTTTTTCTTTTCAATTTTTTAAAATTTTACTGAAATAAAATATCATCAATCAACAACATATGCACCATTGTTATTTACGACATAGTTCCATCTCTTAGGCAAATCTACAATACCATCTTCATAGAGTTTCTTAGACAACGACTGAAAGAAAGTTTCGAGGTCTGATTTTAAATGGTCTTTATCGTCGAAGTGTTTCTCGCGCGGATGATTGCGAAGCAAGCGGAACAGATGATAATCGGAAGATGCCAAGTCTGGTGAATACAGTGGATGGAGTAAGACCTTCCAGCCCAATTCCTCCAGCTTCTGGCGAGTGAACTTTGCCGTACGGAGTTTGGCGTTATTATGAAGCAGCCGTACTTTGTGTCATTCTGAACACGTGGCTTGCAGAGCGACCCTCAAGTTTTGTTTGCAGTACAGTTCGGGATCGACTCTGGGGTGTTAGAAGGAAGAAGCTTGAAGTAGATTATGCTTTGAAAATCCCACCAGATTGACAGCATCACCTATTTTGAGTACAGGTCGATTTTCGGTCCTGGTTCCGGCAAATCTTTGCGATTGACCCATTGGTGCTTACGTGTATGGTTAATGTAGAGGACACACTTCTCATCGCCAGTGACGATTTACTGGAGAAATTCGTGTCGGTTGCACTTCGCTAACAAAAAGTTGCAGATGGTGACCCTCTGTTGGATGTTGTCCAGCGCGTCATTTGGTGCAAGTGACAATTAATGGTGGATTGGTTGCAGCCAAGCATTGTTGACAACTCACGAGTGGTTAGCCGTGAATTGTCTTCTACAAGTGCTTGCAATCATTCCAAATCATATTTAACGGTAGGTCCGGATCTCAGATGATCTTCCAATGATATATCGCCTTCTCGAAACCTTTTGAACCAATTACGATATGTGTGTTCAGCAACTGTAGCTTCTCTAAGAGTAGCAACGCTTGCGTTGTTGCCGAGTTGAAACTCATACAAAATACAGTGTCGAACATGAACAGGAATCTCGGACATTTTGTAACCTAAAATACTTATACTTACGAACATTTATTAATATCATTATATAGCACTGATCAAGCATTTATGATATATGCAAAAGACACGCATACACAATATTGGTAGCTGGTTTTAAAAGATTTTCAAAAAAATTGGCGAAGACTTTTGTGTCAACCCAATATATAAACTTTTGTTCGAAAATCAGCAAAAAAAAGTTTTAAAATATACAGGAATGCATGAATAAAAAGAAAAAAAAATTATGGTTAACGATAATAAGACGTCATGATAACAGTGTGAAAAATTCTAACCATTAATGCATAATAACAATAACTATATCATAAATGATGTTAGAGTTTCATTTGATTTCACAAAAAAAAACGAACAGAAGAAAAGAAACAAATATTTAATAATGTTTAATTATGATGAACAAAAACAAGAATATAAGTGGAATAATTGTCATCACTGGTATTTGTTAGATTTATTAATTTAGTTGTGTAAATATATAATCTTTATTGCCTGCAGTAATTATTGGAGGACCATCAGGTACAGGTGGTCCACGACTATCAATACTTCCACCAGCTCGTTGCATCATTTCTTCTCTTGATGCTCTAAAAGAAATATAAATGAGTGAATTTGATAAGATTAACAATTTTTAATTACTTTTTGCCAACAGCTAACATGAATTGAATTCCACCATTAACAAGTAAAGAAATGAAACCTAATACAATGCTTATCGATTGACATAGAGCAAGTGGTAAAAGTGGTGGCCTAAATTATATAAAAGAAATTGAATTTACTTGTCTTGTTTGTTTTTAAAATCTATTGAAGTTAAACAGATAATTAAAAATTTTTATATATAGTTAATATGTATTAAAAATTATATAATTATTTGTACATGTCTAATCATGATTTCAAGATAATTTAGACATGCATCAAATCAAAACTCAGACTCGATATTCGGAAACTATCCGAACAGTTCGGACAGTATCGAATATTTGGACAATTGTCCAAACTTTTTCTGAGATATATGAACAATTATGGACGCATTCTAAGGCTCAGTTAAGTTCGGACTCAAGTATTTCTGAATTATTTATTCAATTGTACGTGTATTTACCATAGCCAAACTTGAAATTCTTTCTTTTGGTTTACTTTTACTTTCTTTTATTAATTAGCTGAAAATGACTGCAATTAAGACCGAACTCAAACATTTGGGCTTGATGCATACTAGTTGAGTTTTGGATGCAAATAGACATGAGTGAAATCAACCTGTTTTTTTCTTTCCAATCAAAACAAAATCTTTCTAGAAGAAAAAAATTGTCTACTGATCTATGTTTCAATTATTTAATGACTTATATAACTTCTAATTTACAACTTCTTCGATATAACTTTGACAAGATAGTTTATTTTTGAATTGAATCTTATCTAAGAGGGAAAATCGAAAATTTCATGCTCCAAGTTTATATTAAAGTAATTTTCCAGAAATTCTTAACTATTTCAAAACTATTATCGACACGTGTCACAAGAATATTAGTTTGAGTACATTTTATATAAGTCTGTCTGGTAATAAAACGTACTTCAAGATTTATGTATCAATGAAGTAGTTAGATTTTATTGCCAGACAGACTTATATCAAATAAACTCAAATAAACATGCTCGTGGCTAGACCTGTGACAATTCTCTGTTCTAAAAATTTATTCTTTTATTGAGAACTAGATCTAGTGGCTGGGTTTTTTTTTCAAATGTACTTGTTCTATCAATAATGATGATCTAGCGATACTATTCAATACTTAGTCCAATTGTCAAAAAAGAGCTGATTACCACATGCAGTTCTTTCAAAAAGAATTTGTCACCAGGTTCATTTCTTTGATCAGGCATTGTCACAGATCTATTCGTGGCACATGTTGACAATAGATTTGAAATAGCTAAAACGTTCTAGAACATAGCTTTGACATATCCTTGGAATATAGAATTTTTGCTCTTCAGACCATCTTCAAAATTAACTTTCGAGTTCGAATTGTGTCAAAAATAAAGTTCTCAATGAAATTAGTTCATTCTGAAAGTATCAGATTTTCTATTATCTCCTATTTAGTGGTATAACTATAGTTCGACTGAGAGTCGTTCTACCATCAGAAGAAAAATGTATAATAATTACTATTATCGACAGTATATTTCATGGATTTCTCCCAAAATGGTAGGATACTGCCCTACCACTCACGATCTCCTGATTACGCCACTACTCTTATTCTCAACTATCAATAATGAAAATTCTGTTTTTTCGAAAAAAAACAAAACTTTATTGTTATATTTATATCTCAGAATAAGATATACTAGAAAATTTAATACTTTCATAATGAACTAGATCTATGAAAAGTTTGAAGATGATCTGAGAGAGACTACAACATTTCTTTTGAATAATTCTATAATTCAAGAAGAAAAACCTATGTTTAGGAATTCTTTTTTGAGATTTTCTCTTGTCTCAATAG